GGATGTTTCATAAATTTCAATATTAATAGAACAAACAAAGACAACGTAGGTACACGACAAGAGAAAGAATAACAATTTCACCACTGCTCCAAAAATTTTCCATTTTATACACGAAGAAATTCTCACGTAGCCTAGTAAAAATAATTAAAAAGATTAGCGACATAGTACAAAATAATTCCTGAGAGAATTATTTTCGAAATTACATTTTCCAAAAATGTCAATATCGATGTAACAAAGAGCAAAGACAATGTACGTACACGAGAGAAAGTTTTCCAAGGCAAAGAAATTTTCGCATAGCCTTTGAGCAGCCAAGAATCTGCAAGAAACGTCAGCGAATACATAATTCAACACGGAGTGGTTCGAGGACTTGAGAAAAATTGGATTTTTCAACGGAACTTGCATCTCGATATTAACTGTCATTCGCAAGAAAGGGATCTCGAGTGAAAAAAATAAAGAGGAACGACCGAAAAGCTTTCCTTTTAACGTAACAGTAGAGCCGTGATTTATCATACCACGTGTAAAGCGCGGACAAACGTGCAAAGAGCATTGGAACACGTTGACGAGAAAAGCGACGGTGGAATAAGGATATTTCACTTTTGCAACCTCGAAATCCGCGAGAATCCCCGCGATCCATCGCGATCTAATATTCACGCGAGGCTTGATTTATTTAGCGCGCGTCTGGCCCGAGAGAACCGCGATATTTGCGAGAAAACGCCGCCATCTTCGATCGGCTAAAAATTCCTACGAAAATACAGTATCTCGTGGTTGGCGCGAAATTCGAATTTTATAAGTCGTCGTCGAGTTAACAGCGATATTGGACATAGATAAAAACGATAATACTGGTCACTACCAATCTCTAACGTTGCTTCGAACTTTTTCAAACTTGTTTCCCTCGGTTTCTTTCGCTTTTCTATTATCGTCGTTCTTTTCCCCTTTTCTCGTGCTTGGCGCGAAATTCGAATTTTATAAGTCGTCGTCGAGTTAACAGCGATATTGGACATAGATAAAAACGATAATACTGGTCACTACCAATCTCTAACGTTGCTTCGAACTTTTTCAAACTTGTTTCCCTCGGTTTCTTTCGTTTCTCTATTATCGTCGTTCTTTTCCCCCTTTTCTCATGCTTGGCGCGAAATTCGAATTTTATAAGTCGTCGTCGAGTTAACAGCGATATTGGACATAGATAAAAACGATAATACTGGTCACTACCAATCCCTAACGTTGCTTCGGACTTTTTCAAACTTGTTTCCCTCGGTTTCTTTCGCTTCTCTATTATCGTCGTTCTTTTCCCCTTTTCTCGTGCTTGGCGCGAAATTCGAATTTTATAAGTCGTCGTCGAGTTAACAGGGATATTGGACACGGGTAAAAATGATAACAATGGTCACTGCCAATCCCTAACGTTGCTTCGGACTTTTTCAAACTTGTTTCCCTCGGTTTCTTTCGCTTCTCTATTATCGTCGTTCTTTTCCCCTTTTCTCGTGGTTGGCGCGAAATTCGAATTTTATAAGTCGTCGTCGAGTTAACAGGGATATTGGACACGGGTAAAAATGATAACAATGGTCACTACCAATCCCTAACGTTGCTTCGGACTTTTTCAAACTTGTTTCCCTCGGTTTCTTTCGCTTCTCTATTATCGTCGTTCTTTTCCCCCTTTTTCGTTTCACCGCGCTTCTATTGCCGGTTGAAATTTTCCCGGCTCAAAGCAGTGGCTTCGTTTTACTATTATTTAATGTCCGTGAGGTTTTAACTCGACGACACGCTGGCTCGAGTTACGGCTTAGATTCCATTCTTGTCAGTATCATGTTGCGTTTGATTTCCAGGACGTTCGCTGCCGGTACTCTGCGTCCATCTTTTTCACTGGTACGGGCTGCTGCAGCACTTCAACCTGGACGTGGTAACCGTGTGGAAATTGTTCGGTAAGGAATACTGCAAATATGTTCGCGTGAGTGCCATTTTGAGAAACTTATTTCGAGGAAAAATTATTTCCTAAATTTCTACTGTTGGAACCCGGATTTCAATATGCAACACGGGTTCTAGCAACAAGGCTAGCAAAATACAAGTCGGCGGAGAGGAAAAAACAAAACTGCAACTGAAACCTCAACTGAAACTGCAACTGACTGAACTGACTACTGAACTGAAAACTGTACCGAAACTGACTTTCGCAAATTTTGTGGGTGCTTATATGTCAGTTTTTGGTGGGGTGAAGATGACCATTGGTCCTTAGCGAAAGTGGGAATGAGTCAATTGTTTTTGGACTCTGAAATTGGTCTGCGTTTATCAGCCAGGTCTTTCTAGCGACTAAGGGCCAACGAATCGTTGGTCATCCAACACTACATTCGAGGAAACTACGTTCTTTGGGAAAGTGAGATCAGGATGTCGAGAAACGATATTTTTGAAAAGTATATACGTTTAATAGACGGACGTACAGTTTAGAACTGACGTGTCTGTTTAGATATAAACAGATCACAGGTGCCTCCAGAAAACAGGAGACAAATGACACGTCATAAGAATAGGCAAAAGGGAGAAGGAGGGATCTCCTCCGCATTGCTAGGATGTAGAATTTATTTTTATTTCGACAGCAATGGCGTTTGATAATAGGATTTTTATGAACAGACACTCTGGGTAATTTATCTCGCGCTGATAGAGGATCGTAGACGGAACATCCATCATGCCTCTGTGCGTGAGAATACCGTGTCTATTCTTCGCGAATTTCTACTTCGGTTACTTCATATTAGTCGAACATCCTCGACTTTATAATCACGAGTTTAAACCGAAGTAGACGTGGAAGAAAATTGCATCATGTATGAACTTATGAATAATAGAAATCGGTGTTGTCCTAGATCCGACAGCCTAATCTCACTCTCCCAAAGTTTGTTTAAAAGTCTCCACCATTTAGAAACTGAATCCGACACGCGGATAATAAAATATCCAAACATCCTACCAATTTTCCGCACCCACGCCCATCTCACCCTAACTTCTCTCTCCAAAGAAACTCATTTCTAACGCCGCAGCATCACTTCCCCTAACAAGAAAAACTCATGCTCCATAATTCTCATCGGGTCCCATAAATCCCGCAAACAATCTTCCACGACGAGTACACCCTGACAAAAGTAACCCGAAACAATTCCACGTACCCTACACACCAGTGATTTTCAACCAGTGTATCATTATCATTTTTCAATGTATCTGATAAAAAGATAAGTTTAGTTGTAGATAAAAATCAGTCTAGGTTATAAGGTACGAATAAATAGTTTACGAGATGTAAATTCCTACAACGAATATTTATATAAACATTCTATAAGAATTGGGGTTCGCGTGCCCTCTTGACACTCTCTCAGGAGTCAGTTAGTCTGTCAAGAGAAGTACTAGACGAAACATATTCCTTCCCTGAAAAAGAGGATATTTAAACAGGGAATATATACACTCACTGACAAAAGTTAAGAAACAACGTAATCGTTTTGTGATTTGGGTATATTGTGAGAGGAATCTTTATTTGGATGGTATCACCCTGCATCGAGATCTATCTTTGCTTCGAGGAACTTTGCATGCAGCTATCAATTTTCGAAGCAAGGTTGAGTGACGCAATGGGTTGTCATAGGGCCTATAGAAACCTAGCTGAAGGGTTCGACGATGCACTTTTGACAGTCCACCGTTTGCACTACGTATCATAGAAGGCTTCGAATCTCTGTATATTCTATACTGCCAAGAAATATAGAATATAACCAGAATCAAAACAATATTCTCTACAATAGTGAAGGTATTTGGTTTGCGATTGCAGCTCGTCCTAGTCTCCTAATTCTTATCTAACGTGTGATATAAACACTTCACGCATTCCCGGAACCGCTTCGGCGCATAGTTTAACACTATAACTACCGATCTTTAATGGGTACCTAACTATAACGTGCATAGATTATAGTAATTTCAGCGGTACGATGAATACGAGTGAATATATTTGTTCGGTGATTGCAAAAAGGAAAATTCTGGGACCAGTCACTTTGACTGGGTTGGTAGTTCTAGTGTCAAAGATATATCTATTTCTCTTGACAGATTAATTTTTGTTTAACAACATCACCCTACAAAAGCTAACATTATATAAGCAGCTATAATTACATTATATATAAGGCGCATAGTTTAACACTAGAACTACCGATCTTTAATGGGTACCTAACTATAACGTGCATAGATTATAGTAATTTCAGCGGTACGATGAATACGAGTGAATATATTTGTTCGGTGATTGCAAAAAGGAAAATTCTGGGACCAGTCACTTTGACTGGGTTGGTAGTTCTAGTGTCAAAGATGTATCTATTTCTCTTGACAGATTAATTTTTGTTTAACAACATCACCCTATCAAAAACTAACATTATATAAGCAGCTAGAAAATTTGCGAAATGCCAGTCTCTTCCTCTCCGCTGATTTCTATTTTTCTGACGTAGTCCTGTTGCTAGAACCCGTATTGTATATAAAAATCCGGGTTCCAACATCGGCATCTCTAACCTTAACCCTTTCTCACCCCGTCTCTTCCTTGGCCTGCGAGTAAAGCGACGACAAATCCCATCGAGAATCGAACTGCTCTGTTCGTGCACGTGCAAACACGTAGATCGGCGGACGTATTTTTACACGTTCGGCGACGGGGGGCCCCTGCCTCTCTTCCATTCGGCTCCGCTACTAAATATTACATCACGGAGCATATGGCAAAGGTTTACTCAGCGCGTTTGCGGAATCGAGCCACCGCAATCTCTTTCTCCCCGTGTGCTGACGTATCGTGTTCGTTTCCCTGATACCGCGTTTCCGCGGCGGGCAGAATCCGCGCGCCGCCGCCACCCCCCCGACCTCCACCCCCCGGTTGCTAATGATCGTTACTCTCTTTCTGCACGAAATTTTTACGTCATCGTCCCGTCTGGAATACAGGTCGGAAGCTATTCGTCACCATTAAATATTCAAAAGGGGAGAGTCCCGTGGAAGAGGCACGGCCCCCTTTTTACGCGCTCCGCGTATATTCGTATTTATAGACCGCGCGCGACGCTTATTATTTATTTATTCTGTGTAAGATTTCCATACAAACAGGATTTACGTAGCGGCATGTAGGTGCGAAGGAGCGAGGGGGCGAGGTGAATATTTAAGGCGGATCGCTCCGAGTAAAACAAACCACGGCCACGCGTGGATAATTGTTGCAATTCCACCCGTCACAGGGGATAATGGATAACGTTGAAAGAAATATCGCCGGTAATCGACCGTGTTATTTGTTTGAACTATGTCGAGGCTGCTTTATGATACCATACATTTCCGATCTGCGTAGAATCTTTGCTGGAATTTGCGTGGTCACAGGAAATTACGTACCCTTTTCATTTCATTTCATTTCGCTTTCGGAATTACGAGTGTGGTAAAAGGATCGGGTTTACAGAGATTTAACTTTAAACTTCCATTATATTTTATTCTCTTGCGGTACAAGTGTGCGGACGCTTGAGTCTTGCGCGATGCGTGATGCAGACGGTTGATTGTCGAAAGTGTGTATGTTCCCTCGAACCCTTCAGCCAGGTTCTTATAGTCCCTATGACGACCCATTGCGTCACTTAGTCCTGCTTCGAAAATTGATAATACTGATGGTTCCTCGAAACAAGCATAGATCCCGATGCAAGGTGACGCCATTCAAATAAAGACTCCTCTCACACGAGTCTTCCTTTCTTCCATTATTTCGCGTATTTATCTTCGCATCGTTCCTAGTTTATTATTCCGTTGCGAGTGTTAGAAACTGTTATCAATTACGGAATTCTTGAGAGCTTGCTTATAGCCCTCGAAGCATTTTCACTTGTCTGCCTGAATCACGTTAAAGATTCATTTGTCCAGGTATTTTCGATTCCCGTTTTCACCTCTTTATCTGATTTAACGCCGCGTTAAAAATTCAGGCTCCCTGCCATCTTCGATTCAGTCGCGTTTCCGAGTCAGGTGCTCATTCCGTTGTGCGAAACTATGCCATTATTTCATTTAGCTGCTCGCTTTACTCGCTGCCTTGCCTCTGCAGTTCCAGCCACTTGTTTGTTTCCAAAAACGGAAAATGTAAACGTACAACTGCTGATATTCGGAAAGGAGCACGTACATTTCAAAAACCTTGAACAGTCTATAGATACTGCGAAAAGTCACTGTGGAAAACATGTACCGACAGTTGGGTGACACGTAAAAGTCTGACAATTTTATCTACGAGAACACGAAGTCTCGAGAATCTTGCTCTTATCTTCTAAGCAGCGATACTCGAGCTAAGCTGTGAGACTTAGAAACTTTCTTCCAATCTCTCTCTAGCAAGATAAAAATCTGTACTACCGAGTGGTGTACTTTGTATTAGGAAGATAGTAGTAATCAGATGATATTCGGTGCTGCAGGAAAATTCGATTTGAAACAACATTGGCAGCGAGTTAGATCCAGAATATTTCTGATATCAGACTGTCATGCGAATGAAATAAAAATGGAATAAAAATTATTTAGAATGGTAGAATATTAACCCTTTGCATTCCAGAGGCACCTCTCAGTCACCATTTAATCAAATTCCAACGATGAATATTAATTAATATATCAAATTTACAATTACCTAGCGATGCGTGGAATATCAAAGTAAAATAATTCTACGTCTTCATTTCTATACGATTTCTTATTTATCGTTTTAAAATTATCGTCCACTCTATGGCAGAAAGTCTTCGAATTACTTTTTTCCTGTAACGAAAAGGTCGTCGAATGCAAAGGGTTAGAATTGGAATATTAGAATACTAGAACGCTATCTGTTCTAGGTAACGAATGAAATAACGATAAATTAAAATCCTATAGGGAAACTGACGAGATAAAAATTTGAAAGGAAGCATAATTTCTCTTAAAAGTAAGACGATCTACGCGAATTACCTGCGCGTTTAATCTAACCGAGCTAATCGCTTTATTCGATCGAAAGAGATACGTCGTTGGCGGGTTGAAAACCTGTCTGTCACTTAAACTAATCTATACCAGATGCTCCCACGCGAGGTTCAAACGCGCATATCTGAAAACCTGTCTGTCACTTAAACTAATCTATACCAGATGCTCCCACGCGAGGTTCAAACGCGCACGACAAATACGATTTAATCACAGCAGTTCTTCTTCCGATTGCAGCCTTCATCGAGGAGGGTTATCACAGTACAAATCCTTACCACAACAGTATACACGCGACCGATGTGACTCAAGCGATGCACTGCTTCCTCCAAGAAGAAAAAGTGGGTAAACACACGGCTTTACGGCCGCGGGAGTATGAGGCGTAACGAAGTGTGTGCAACGTTGTAAATTTACAGATCAGAACGCACTTAACCAACTTGGAGATTATGGCTTCGCTGATTGCCGCGGTGACGCACGATCTGGATCATCCGGGCGTCAATCAACCGTTTCTGGTTGCCACGAGCAATCACTTGGCTGCTCTCTATCAAGTGAGTCGATGCGATTTTCGGCACGTTTATATCAATCGCGCGGCTCGCGAGCAACGATCGTTGACGACGTACTGATTGCAGAACACGTCGGTTCTCGAGAACCATCATTGGAGGTCAGCGATAGGATGCCTTCTGGAGAGCGGAGTTTCCGATCAACTGCCAGCCCACGTGAGGCCGGAGCTTCAACGGCACATCAGCTCGTTGATTTTGGCCACAGACATCACCAGGCAGCAAGAGTTTCTCATTCGATTCAAGGTGAGCGCACTCCAAGACCTCGTTAACCCCCTTAACACTTGGGCCCCGGGTGGTTACGCTGATTTGTGGACTTGGCTACGGCCTCGCGATATCTGTACGCGCTCCTTGTCGGTATGTTCGTATATCCTAGCGAGCAGACTCGATGATTTATTCGAATGACTTGTACCGGATGGTTCATCGAAGATAGTATATCTTACGGGACATTTGTTATGCTCGCGTTGAGAATTCTTAATGCGTTCCGATAAACGAGTGGAAATCATTTTAACGACTCGTCTCTGTCATCGTTGCGCTTTATTTTGCGATATTATATCGTAAAATATTTTACAACGTTGCTTTCCTTGAATTTCGTTCTACTGTGGTTACAATCGTCGTGATCTAGTTGTCCGAAAGATCCTAATTTCGCCATCGTTTTTGCAGCACTACTTGGATGAGAATCTTCTGGAGATGAGGCGCGCGGATGACCGGCATTTCATTCTGCAAATAGCCCTGAAATGCGCTGATATATCGAACCCGTGCAGACCTTGGGACATCTCGCAGAAGTGGTCGCACAAAGTATGCGAAGAATTCTTTCGTCAAGGTGATTACGAACGCCGCCTGAACCTTCCGGTGACGCCATTATGCGATCGACATACCACTAGCATACCAAAGATACAGATTGGATTCATTAAATTCGTCGTGACGCCTCTGTACGAGGAATGGCATCGTTTCCTGGGCGACGGTCTCAGCGTGTCGTTAATGGAACACCTGCGAGCCAATCAGAAGAAATGGGAGGCCTTAATTCTTCAAGAAACCACGAAGGAAACGGACACGGAAATCTCGGAGCTAGAGGAGATGGAGGACGCCGTTAGTTCCGTGGATGATCCAGCCGCGGAGGATGATACAGCGAGTATCGATTTGCTGATACCAGCTGCCTACGTTCAGTCATCTAAGATGCAGAGTTTGCCAGCGCGAGTTGGCCTCGAACGCGTTGGAAGACGGCATTCCGTGCCGCTGAGTATCACGAAACCTTTGACGCTTCTTCCACGAAGCAACGTCAGGCGTGAAAGTCTACCTACCGAACAGAGCAAATCGAGGAACCTTTTGTGGAGACTGGACGACCAGAGTCTTTTAGATCCGAGTTCTTTGTCTCTGCTGTCATCCAAGACCAGTATCCCGGAGCTTTCTCCGAACGCCAGTAACACAGGGGAAAGACCAGTGAGCGCTGAAAGCCTCCTGCCGGAGACCAGCATAGCCAGCATCACCAACAGCACCGAAGCTTCGAGAATAAGCACGGTGCTGCAGTCGGATGTTCAAAAGCCAGCTACGCAAACGAAACAGCTAACGAGACAGCAGACTTTCCCTCCGCTGCAACCGTTCGTCAGAATGAGATACCTATCCACCACTGCCGAGATGTCGCAGTGTTACTCGCAGATCCTGATAGAGGCCGACAGCTCGACCTCGTCGTCTGGCTCGGTAAAGGAAAAATTATGCGCAGATGGTCGTTGCGGTACTCCCCCTACGAAGGAAATGGACATTAGTAACCTTACAGTGTCAAAGGAGATGGATGTGTCAAACAAGAGGCGAGGTTCCGCCATTCCGGAGACGTTCAGACAGAAAACGGAAGCCATGTCTGCCATCGAACATCCGCGTCGTCATTCGGTCCAAACCATCCGCGTCGAAGACGTGAACTTCAAAAATCGTTACAAACGACCGACTTCTGCTCAAGGATCGGATTCCACGCAAATCTTCTACGCGTCGTTGACAAGTTCGCATTCCGACAAAGAGGGTCACAGCATCGAGGAGGAATCCAAGGTGGATGGCACTTTGATGACGAAGTTGGAGAGTGACAGATTGATAGGCGAAGAGCAACGGACTACGACAGTGGCATTAAATAAATCGGAACAGTGTAGTTCGGTTATTGGGAAGGCAAAGTGCACCAATTCCGAATTGCGAAGATACTCGACTCCTGTACCAGAATCTAAGACAATAACGACTGATACCGGTGGCAGACGATTTACCGCGATACCAGTGTCCTCCGAACTTAGCACGCATAAAGTGTTCTTCATCGGTAGCCCACCAGACTCGCCACCCTTTGTTCAGAGCGTGTCTTCGTCGAGCGACAGTGGTAGCGACTCGAGAAAAGCAGATATGAATAACGAGATCGTTCCTAGCGGTAACAAACGGGACTCGGATCTCGTGAAGGAAAGAAGCTCGAAGGTAGCTAAGCTAAGTCTTGATATGCAGATGAAAGAAAACGTTGATCCTCGAGCAGTGGAAGATACGAAAGGGATTGCTTTATCCAGAAAAGGAAGTCAGGTAAAATTCTTCAGCCTGTTTCTAATTTCTTGCTTTCGTATTACTCTCCTCTACAATTTTTCTTATCCGCGAAGTTCCTTAATTTGGACTATTTCGTGCTGTACAAATGTCAGTTGTAATTAAGTTGTACGTTTTATTATGTAGTCATGGACTAGACGACGTGGGTCTGCTCCAGTTGGTCTCCTATCTAGACTGGATGATATTACGGTGCCATCTATTACAACTAGAGTTGATCACACTTCCAGACGTGGTTCTGTACCAAACGACATCACTAGACAGCAAGGTGAGAGCAACAAATGACAGTACTAAATCTTGACGAGTGAGAAGAGCAACGATAACAAAGGAGTATATATATATCTGCTATATTGTCAGGTGGTGGCTTTAACAGATTAGCCTTGGGACCTCGAGAAGGCAATGTCGCGGCACCTCGGAGAGCAAGTCTTCCGCAGGAAACTGCTCTTGGAAATCTCCTGGGCAATATTTTGTCTTTAACCAGTACGTATATGTGTATATATATATATATATATATCTCGGACTTTGATGTCGCAAATAACACGGTTTCGCTTGACGTCCGTTACCCGTTTGCTGCATGATTTTAGATGAACGAGAAAATGTCCCAATAAATAATAACAATAATAATAACAATACCGGAAGTAGCAACAATAACGGAATAACAAGAATAATCGATAGCATCGGTCCTGGCATGCCGTCGCCGCGGCGAGGTTCAGTGCCGGCAGACATATCTGAATTACGCCGTGATATGTTCAATAGGAGTAGCATAAATGGTAAGCCTCGTAATCGGAAAAAGGTATTGAGGAGAAGGAGTTCTGGAGGACCAGAAATGTTTTCTGGAGGATCCACAGATGGAAACGATAATGGCACATGGCTTAAATGGAAGAGGGAACTAGGAAAAAAGGAAACGATTCCTGAACATTCCCTGCCCATAGAGATGGTGGCCATTTCTCATGCTGGTCGGTACAATCATAGATAAAGGAGGATGTCGTTAAACACAAGCCGGTACCATTGCGTTCTCCACTAATACTTTTTTCAAGAGACTGAAATTTCGCTAGCTTTCTCACTCGTTAAACCTTTGAATTCGTTAGCAGCATTTTAGTAAAAAAAAAAAAAGAGACTAGCATTGATCGCAAAACACTTAAGGTATAGATATCAGCTTTCTGGAGCCGTACGTGCAATGATTATTTCACATGTAGAAGTAGGAAATTGAAATTGTCCGACTGGAGCTAACGAGATTACTGTGTATATGCACGACAGGGTCGGGATCAGGGGCACGAAGATCCAGCTTATGGAGACTCTAGCATGCAGTAGAAACAAGCGGGCCGTCCTTGTTATCAGCGGTTGACATCAGATCATTGAATACTACCCGTACTGACAGTCTTTCCTTACAACGTTAGCAGCAACAGCGATGATTGACTTCCACGTTTCTGGATTGCCAAAAATGGAACCAACTGTAATTGTGGGCAAGTGAATTTTGTAAAATTAAACGAGATTTCTATAATAATATTTGCAATAAGGAAACGAGGGAAGATGCACGCAGCGATTTATTCAGCGATCGCTAAATAATTTTATTGCCGTTATCGCAAATATTATACGTATTAACGCCTATAGTAAAGAAAAAGAAACAATTTACATTTAAAAATGAAAACGATATGTGTATATCTTTGAACATTGGCGCAGAATAGAAATTCAAGATTGGCAGATCGCAACGTGAAATATCTTGCGACAGGGTTAAATAATAAGAACGAGAGAAGGAAGAAAAAGACGAATTCTAAACTCTTCCCCGCAATTATGCGTCCACGTGGAAGACGTAAAAAGTATATACGCATATTAGTTATGTGAGCTCTATATCCATTTGTGCCATACACAAATGTTGTTGAAAACGAGACACAGTCAAACACAGGGTTCAATATGACGATTTTAATAATTAAAATGCCTAGGTTCGGAGAAGGAAAAAAGACTGGTAGAGAAACTCACCGCTATAAAATTAGACACTTTTAAAGTGGCACATAAATTGATTGAAACTTAATGACATTTGCTCATAGTTAAGAAAATTACGATTTTTCGAAACAATTGGGACAGAATGATGTTTATGTTTACTCGATTAACGATCATCCTTAGCGTTCGTCATCCCCATTAAATATTAAATACGTTTCTGCACCCACCTCGAAGATATCATTTCTTGTTTTTCGTTGACAATCTTACGGATAAAACGCAAATTAAGTTGAATTTATTGTTAAGTCGAGAATAAGGGAAAGTAACGACTATGGGAAAAGTAGTTCTGATAAAGAAAAAAAGGGAAAAAAAATATAATATACTCAATATCAGATGTAGTTTCCTTTGAACTCTAACGAAAATCAAGATAGACATTCCATTAAAACAAATAGCGTGCAATGCGTAGTAACACGAATGAGAATTAATCATGATAAAGTTGTAATTATCGCTATTTATCATCATTCATTATACTATCATAATCATAGCCATCACTATTGTCATCATCGTTGTTGTTATAGTTATAAATGAAATCTTAATGACCGTTCAAGTAGATAGTCATTATAAACTTAGGAAGTAACAATATGTGCGTTTACTCTCAAAGTTAATTAGTTAGTGAATTGCGTGAAATTATAACCATGATTGTTTATTATCGGTGAAAACAAAAGATGGTTACGATGAGTGGGTTTACGGTACGTGAACCGAGATCAATCAAAAGCCACAAAATTCGTTCATATTATCTCCTAAAATATTAATTTAGTAAAGAGCGTTCAATTAGTAAACTTTAGTTACGTAAAGTACAATTATTAAACTGCCTGTGCACAAACATGTACAACACAGATGAAGCGTTAGTTTGTTTTAGTATAAAATTTTTGTTATTATAAGGTTCTCCTACGAGAAAGAAATCTTTAATAGCGTTTTTAATTACGTTTTTTAGAGGGTAAGGGAAAGTAATGATTTATATCACGTACTGTTATAACCTATCGTCCCTCTGACTGTCAGAAAGTAAAGAACTATTATTAAGCCATTGCAGTTCAGTAATAATATATACTGAGTCTAAGTTTATAACTAATCAAAGTAATAATTGATATCTGTATCGATGTAATATAGATAGGTCATCCACTTCCCAAGTAAAATGTTGCAAAGCTTAACAAACTTTCCCTGGTAAAATTTCCAGATCTTCTCAATGCAGGAACTATCAGAGCTTTATGTGTATTTTACTCAATGACCAGAAAACCAAGGTGGAAAGGAAAATCGCCTTAAATAGATTTCAAATCTTTGAACACGAAACATGGAAATGATTCTTAAGTTTTCCTATTTGTAATGCAGGAACACTGCATAAACGACTTGTTGTATAAGTGTATTAACAACTAAGTTAGCATAAAACTACTAGTCTTTCTAACTCTTAATATAATTTGTATATAAATATATAAATATTATATATATATACATCTCATTTGACAAAGAAATGCACAGCAACATGCCAAGCAACACGTTAATGAAAGATATTGAAAGATTTCAGTGAAAAATTTATTTATTTATATTCTTGAAATACTTATCTCTACAGACAGACCAATAAAAATGGGACTAAACAGAATCTCTTTATGAAAACGATAATTGAATTAACTTCTCAACTAAATTTGAATTCAATGATATACATGACCACTCTGTCCAACTACTTTTTGAAGAATTTATGGCACCTAGATATACATGTTCCCTGTTACGATACAAAACATGCCTCATTCCAATAGAGAATTATTGATGTACTTCAAAAATTCTCTTCTGCCATCCTATAGATACCGTGTATTTGTATTACACTGTTTTCTAACATTATATTATCGCAGGGTGTGCAAAATTAATAAAAGTTTATTATTACTTTATAGGAATGGATGTAATAGTAGGATATTTGACATACAATGCATTAAGCAGTGTTTATGCTCATACAAATATCAATTTTTTTATGCCAAAATGTTATGCTGTTGAATCATTGTGAGTCTATAAGCTGCTATTGTACTTTTTCTTCTTTCGAACTTTCACTTGATCATTTTATTTACAACGAAGTATCAACAAAAAAGAAAAAAAAAGTGATACAAAATTCTAAATATTCAGGGATATATGTTTTCTGTTTAAATCATTGTATCGATACAAATTTGGAATTATATTTATATTGAAATTATATCTAAAGTTATATTTATATTAAATATACTTTTTTGCAATTTCTTTAGAATTTTTTTAATTATCGATTGCTTAAAATCCCAAAGTACTATAATTATTACTATTAAAGTATATTTAATACATATGCACATTTTGATACCTAACAATGACCAAATTATTTATAATTTTCTAATTATTTTTTTTCTCTATACATACACGACACAACTGTACATTACTTTATTTATACCCTATCCGCAATGGAAACAGGAAAAAAGATGACAAGTAATTGTCTTGAAATAAATCAATATTTTAAAGCATCTGCAGTAGGATGAATAATTAATTAACTAACAGTGAAAACTGAGTGAAAATGAGAAGCTTGTTCTTAGGTTTAAATAAATTAGATCAAGTAACTCCCTTGAAAATAAAATGAAATGTGAATACTATAGAACGAATTATTTCTCTTCTTCCGATTGGTTTTTTCTTTCTTTTACCGAAAATATTGGATGTTATAATTGTATACCAATAAAAAATTCGCGTGCAATTCGCAGTATTGGAAATGTCAATTAACAAGTAACAATTCGTATGTAATCGGTCTGACGATAAGAAAGTCGTTATGTATTTTCTATAATGTTACTGGTAGATAACTACTGCGTTAGATACAATTAAACGATGTGTTCTTATCATTATTCATAATTAAATTATAATGTCGTTACAATAAACACAAGATGCGAAATAGTATGAAATGAATAAGTGCATATGTGACAGCGATGAGAATGCGAGTGTAGTTCAATTTATTGTCCTATTTATGGTGGACAGTGTGAAAAAAGTTAATATATATGTATATGTATGTGATGGCTCTACATGGCCTATTATACTATTAGATTGAAATTACTATAGTGGATAATTATAGTACCCAAATTTTCTATAATTTTCATTTAGTTATACCGACTATTTATTTCATGAATGTACATGCAATTCTACCCATTGTATGGTACAACCCCCATTATAAGTTTAAAATTGAATGATACATGACACGATATGTAAACCCATCTTCTTTATTAAAAAAAACACACAAAAATTACTCGAGTATATTTTATTAGCTATATTTCTATTCTTATTTCTACTAGAAAAGATTGCTTTTATCACCTCTTTTTTGTACCAATTTTGCACTGCTAACCTTGTATGAAGCTGGTGCTTTAGACAGTTGGACTAGTTTTTAATTATGTTGATTTGAATATTGGCGCGATGCACACTACCGACAGAGATACCAACTGTAAATACAACACAAACGTTGCGTCATATTGCGCACTGTGTTCCGAGTCGTGTGTCGCGAATCTCGTTTTCGAAAGAGCACGCACACACATGCCGCGTCGTGAAATCAAATCATCGGCCCGGGAAACAAGAGTGCATAAATCGCGTGCGACAATTCTTAGTGTTCGTCAGATGCAATCGGTTTTGGCGCGTGTGGTTGCGTACGTGTCGCGTGACTGTCGATTCACGTATCTGTGCGCGCTCGGTAGGTCAAAATGGCGTGAACCGACCGTGCGATTTTAGGTTATCTTTGCTCGTGGCAAATCACCGCGGGTCCAGAAACAAAGACGCGCGTTTATCCCCCAGTGGTATCCTTGTTTCCAAGTGCTCACCGCGATCCTCCACGTGCGTTTTTGGGCCCGAGTTACATGAGTTATGAGGACGGAATGCCCGCAGGCGGTAACAGTCGTTTCCGCGGTTACCCAGCGCGGATGTCCGAGCGACAACAACTCGCGCTCCTTCTTCAAATGACCTCTCAAGAAATAGTGTCAGGTGAGAAGAACGTACACTACATCGAGAATAAACACGCGCACAGTCCAGCAGCCTCCGACGAAATAACACATAATCAGGGATCGAACAGTACCGCCCCGTATTATCTTCGCGTATCATTTTACCATGAATATTTAAAATGTATTCTAGGCAAATTATTTATTCCGTGTTTACACAATCATACGTAGCTGACAATAAAATTCACTACAACGTAACTTTACGTTACATTGTACATAGGTTAGCCGAAGAATATACTTGACAGATGGATGCCTCGTTTGATCGCGAATTTACGTGTTTATTTCTTTGCTGATACACAAATAAGTAACACTCGCGCGAACTACGCAGCATCTGTGCCTCCCGATAGGCACATAGTTTTCTGCTGTGCGTACTCATTTTATCGGAACAAACTGCAATGCGAAATCGAGGCTAGTTACTTCGCGCCAATGAGTTTTGCCCGCCTGCACGCTCCGCTCAGGGCTGCCAACTGTGCAACTGTGCGACAGTTCAGTATTCAGTCGCCGCGTATAGCGCCTGGCCAGCTTTGATAAAGAAAAGAGAAGGGGCTATGTTAATGTAAGTAATTGATGTGCGCTCGAGTTCCCGCCACGAGAGAATTGACCTGACAGCGGCACCGATTGCCGGTAACTTGTTGCAGCTGCAATTTGCACTAGGAGGCGTTAATACCGCTGTATAATATTCGTGCAACGTAGCTTATCAGTTGCATTGCTCTATATTTGGTATTCCCACGTTTACCTGCCCTCGTAGTATTTATCTCCGCAATTTAGAACACGAAAGTGTCATGGAAAAAGCATTGTATACATCGTGTCTTTGATTCCATACTTGTTTCTTTTATTTCATGAAAAGACACTGATAACATATTCTCACTATATGTATGTGCATATCGAAAAATTATTCGGAAATGAATAGAAATGCACTTAAGATGTTACTATAACTAGATTGTGACGTATATATATTTTTTTAATTGCTGTTACATATGTAGTTGTACACAGAGGGTATCATGTTCGAATACCGTTATATTTTAGCGCTGAGTGATCTAGCGAATGATTAACTCGTGGGAGATCTAACTAATCTGTTTGTTTTCAGGCGGAAACCGACCAGAGAACACAACTACATCAAATACTACTCCAAGGTCATCGACAATACAGCAGCGAGGGTCAAAAGGCCGCTGGACTAGCAAAAATGGGGAATCGGCAGTCCAGGCGTCTATTAATCGCAAAGAAGATTTTCGAGTACGACAGATGCTCGTGAATGGATATGATCTCAACGCCAAGGAAGCGAACGGTGAGTGAACCACATTTCTTTTCACTTTTTACCCTGATTTTTCTGTTTATAGATACACCGCGAAAAGTACCAGATAGTTTATCTCCTATTACAGATTTATCACGCTTCAAGCGTGTAGTTACTGCATGTTACGAATTGTAAATTGTATCTACAACGTGAACTCCAACCTTTTAACAATACTAATACCATTTGCGAGGATTGAATTTCCAAGCTGTTTATAATCCTCGAGTGCAAATTGGAGTATTTGCTCGTAAACGATAAACTTAGATTCTTAATCGAATCGAATATTCTTCCACTATTCGAAATAACGAAATACAATTTTCAGCCGAAATGAATAAATCGAATTTTTCTTTTTTTTTTTTTTTTGAAAGCAACAGAGTATAACCCACGTTGCACAGAACTCTCGATACAGTTAAATATCACCTGACTACGTTTCATTTTTCGGCTACTCCGATGATAAAATCGATATTCAGTCTCTCCCTGGGCGAATTTATTTTCCTAAATAGCAATTTCGAACGTGCGTCTATGAATGCTTACAAGTACGTGAGAATTTCAAAGGTACGTCTATAAATTCTTGCAAATAACACGAAGAATTTTACTCGTTAATATCTCTGTTTCTCTTACCGCCCATGACGAATCGCAGCTGGTCGCTCGTCTGGTGTGTCCTCTAGCGCGTGTCACACATAACTAAACGTAACAGAAGCCAGAAGGTTTTCTTTTGAGCGAAAGACAACATTGCCGGGGTCGGTCACCGCCGTTCGTTCTTGTGTATAGTAGAGACTCTCGTCGATAAATGAAAGCGACGGTGCACGACCTTCCTAAACGCAGGAAGTCAGCGGGTCCGGGTTCATTCATATACAATCCACCTTCGTTGCTCGGCTACCCTTTCTCTGTCCCGTTTCGTCCCATTACCCTTTAAGGTCGAAGAAACAGATGGAACGTACAACTAGTTTCTCTTTCTCTCTCTCTCTCTCTCTCTCTCTCTCTCTCTCTCTCTCTCTCTCTCTCTCTTTCTCTTTCTCTTTCTCTTTCTCTTATTTCCTACAATAGTACAATATTTAATTATTAATAATTTAGTAAAATAATTATTTTAGCGTTCACATGCTAATTATATATTAAACGCGTCAAATTTCTCCCTTTTTACTTTTTCTTGGTCGTTTTTAAAAATTTAATATCGAGAAAAAGTATTTCAAAGACTTCAATTTATTCTTCGTTCATGGGGATTGAAACCAGTGCGTTTTTGATGAGAATTAGAGACCGTGGATAAAAAAGGAGTTTCTCTTGTGAGAATTGTACTAAGAGCAATTTTGAAAATGGAAATGCTATACAGTAAACTTTTTTCGGTTTATGAAAAAGTTACAAGTAATAGGTTTTAATACAGAAATAAACGAAATAGATAAAATCAGCTTTATCTATAACCTTCTCTTTATCTTTGCTTTTGTGGTCTATTAATCGTTACTACCGAAGAAAACAAAGTCTCTCATTTATTTTCTAGTTCCTTAACGACATGTCAAGTGAAACGAAGGAAAAAATTCTTGCATAACGTCCTCTCGCAATGAAGATATTTCGAAAACGTAGATAGCTGTTTTTTCACTTGTAAATACGAAAGAAGACGTATTTAGTGGAAGAATAGATGGAGGAAGAAATTTCTGTGGCTAGAAAAATGAAATAAATAAAGAAGGTTTAAGCTGCAAACATTTGAATTAATTTAAAAAATATAATTTAACGTGGTTTTGTATACACACACCCAAAAAGGAAAAAATAAATAATGTAATATGGATAAAAACAGCATACTAACTTTTTTTGACGCTGGGTATGCTAATTTTCTTTTTTCTTTCTTTCCTCCTTTTTCTTTTCTTCTTTTTTCAATGAGAAACTTAGACTTTGAATTGCATGTATGCAGACTGAAGCAGATTGTATGTAGACTAAAAGAAAACTCAATTTACAGAGTCATGATTATTTTTAAACTCACTTTAATAAATATTGGATATTTCATACAAGAACTGCCTTTTGTATTCCTCTTTAATAACTGCAAATACACCACGTTCCATAAAAATCTGAAATTGAAAAAATTATTAGCCAATATTGGTATCAGAGAGATAATATTCTAATCATATTAAAAAATTGATCAATATTCGACCTTGATATACTTATCTTTGTTTCCTTCTCCTATCCTATTTTCCTTCGACTCCCATTTAAAATAAAAATGCCATAAGAAATTATCTTCAACGTATAAAGCTCTTGTTCCTCGAAAACATGAAAATTCATGGTTCCCAAAATCGAGTACCTGAAACAGAAAAAGGCAGAGTCAGAGATAGAAGATAACAGAAGACCTTACCCGGATTAATTCGCTCATTGAAAGAATTAAGAAAACAAGGGGTGAGAAGAAATTTAAAAAAAGAAAATAAATAAAATAAAAATAGAAGAAATCTGAGTTCAAACATGTGATTTCCTCTTCAGATACCCTGATTAATTCGCTCACCAAAGGAATTAAGAAAATAGGGGGTGAGAAGAAATTTACAAAATAAAATAAATAAAATAAAAATAGAAGAAGAAATCTGGGTTCATACGAATAACATTCCTCTTCAAATACCCTGATTAATTCGCTCACTAAAGAAATTAAGAAAATAGGGGGTGAGAAGAAATTTACAAAATAAAATAAATAAAATAAAAATAGAAGAAGAAATCTGGGTTCAGACGAATAACATTCCTCTTCAAATACCCTGATTAATTCACTCATCGAACGAATTAAGAAAATAGGGGGTGAGAAGGAATTTAAAAAATAAAATAAATAAAATAAAAATAGAAGAAGAAATCTGGGTTCAGATGAATGACATTCTTCTTCAAATAGCATGCGAGACGAACAGCAGTTCGCTTGGAGATTACCCCCCTTGGTCACTTTCCCTTTTGGCGTATCTTGCGTGGTTGCATAAGTGGGTCCGAATCTCCGGCAAAATTGAAATTATTCCACGACGCGAAGGTCGAATTTAAATGATGCCGTAGGATATCGTGACGTAGCTGGAAGCGAATGGTGACCAAGCCGTAAGCCAGCACGTATACCGTACGGAGACAGTGTCTCCTCGGCGTAAGATGCCTAATAGGGTATTCACCAACACTCTAGTCACAGGTGCACGACATCCTTGTTGTTCAGGGGTTGCGGAGGGATGAAACATCCAGCGTTGGGCTCGGGAGGGGCGGCAGACAACTCTCGTACAGATCAATACTCGAGACAGGGCCGCACTGTTCCACATAATTTTTCACCTCTGACTGCTTCGGATCTAGGATTTTCGGCATTTCTATTTTTGATATTTAGAAATTTCTTTTAGGTTGTTTCTTTCATCTCAGGTTGCCTTTAACAGCCGTTTCTTTTTGATATTTTAATTTGTATTTGAAACTTCAAAGGTATAAACGGAATTGAGGTAATTTCAGAAAATTTACTCGGTGATCGATTTTAGTATTTTTTTCTAATATTTTTCCGAATATTTCTAGTCTAGTTTCTTGAATATTTTTCCAAATATTTCTAGTCTAGTTTCTTGAATATGTTTTCAAATATTTCTAGTCTAGTTTCTTGAATATTTTTCCAAATATTTCTAGTCTAGTTTCTTGAATATTTTTCAAAATATTTCTAGTCTAGTTTTTTGAATATTTTTCCAAATATTTCTAGTCTAGTTTCTTGAATATTTTTAGGAGACCATCGATGCTAGTGTTATTATGTAAAATTATAACGGTGATTAATTTTAGTCAGGTTGCAATAACTTTGTTTACAGATAGCGTATGTACCTGTCTATTTCGAGTGGAAGACAATTTTAGGGATATACGTTATTTTTGAAAATAATCGTGAGTTTAAAAACTGTATAAATTTGTATGAGATCATTTTCTTTCTAAGTCTGTGAGATATCTTTCTCGTCGAAATGTTATTTTCTGTTGTGGTAATTGAGATCTCCTTTTTGTAGTTATCAATCTTTACGTTGTGATGACTTTATGAGTCATTATTTTACTTTTGACCCGTGAAAAATTTATTCTTGTATACACGTTCATTCACAGTTTTTGTTTCGTTTGAATGAATAGTTTTTGCCCCTAGAGGCACAGCCTAGTTTTATAATCACCAACGTATATGAGAGTTCACTATAGCGTAGTATAAAATAAGAAATCAGTCAGATAAGTGCAACCTTGCGAGCTATATGTTTTGATACATATATATAGAGAAGTTTTAATTTACAGCATTTGAGATGATATTTTAGAATAATCGTAATCGTTAGTTGCAATGCAGTCTGAAGTAATATTTAAAATAATTTTAAATTCAGGGTGGGGCCATTTGTAATATTCAAAGAAATATCCGAAACAATATTTATTCGCACTAATATTTAAAGTAATATTTGAAATAAAAGTGGTGCATATATTCTTCAGTTTTAATCCAATCGATTTTATTTTATATTTTCATTTTAATTTCGAGTATACGTTGTTCTCTTGTAATATTGAAGGCAATATTTGACACAGGGCCGCAGTATATACGATACAACTTTAAAATCCACCTTGAGGTTTACAGCATGGTATATTCCACTGAAATATTACAAAATGGATGGATAACACGTTGAGAAATAATATATATTAAATTCCTCTGAATATGGTACAAAAATATAAATTTATTAAATTATGCAAATTTATACACTAACTTCTTAGATGTAATAGAAATAACAACCAACTTCGTTTTATTACTACCAGAAGGAAACTCGAATAAATATAGCAAATGAAAGAACAAGAAGAAACGAATTTTTTACGAATAAATATACGAATAAAATTAGAAGAATCTTAATATCTCTAGATATTGATCGAATCTCTTTAGATTCGTATTTCCCTCGTATTCAATTTTAAATTCCTTCCTAGCTCTAATTTAATACTCATTTTAACTCACACAAGACCCACGCTTCAGGAATTCAAAAATATGTATCCTATAGTATACATTAAAATACAGCAAATAAATTCTCGTCCCACGCCATTGT